CAACTGATTCGTTAAGATTTATGCGTAACTTTAACTAAATAGCATTATTTACATATCCTGTAGTTTATTTGTATTTCCATTAGTTTTTGATGTGTCTGTATCTATCAAAGGTCATTTCTTTAATTGAATCTTTTAATATATATATATGTGTTAACGTGTGCTGTTTCCAGTTATAAGCACTACTCTGTTCTCGACAAAAGGGATGGAATGAAAAACAGTGGAACCGTAGTCCTCTTACACAACTCTCACGCAGTAACAAAGATATATTAGTTTCAGGACACAGTGTATCTTGAGACCAAGCCTTAAGTGTTCACCACCAAGGCTGATTCGTATGTTGAGTTAAGCAGGTGTTTCTATTATAGATGTAGTGACTGCAGTGTTTGTGTGTGTGTGTGTGTGTGTGTGTGTGTGTGTGATAATAATAATAATGATAATTAACGAATTAACGGTTTATTGAAAGAGCATGGTAGCCGGAAGGCTGAAAATATACAGTTAATAATTGGGGAATGGGTCTCTTGATTTATAAATAATATACAAGTAACATAAGTGAAACAAATATGATGTATAATAACTAGGTGGGGAGAATCTCAAACTACAGGGCATTTCAACATAGTGACAGTGCAAAAAGTAAGATTGACTGGGAGTGAATACACTGGTTGATTACAAGTTATTGATAATTTTTACAGTGGTTGGGACTGGGCTGTTCTTATAGCGATCAGTTTCTGCTCGTATGGGCTGGTTGCGGTTGTGGTGTCGAACAGCAATTCTGTGTGTGTGTGTGTGTGTGTGTGTGTGTGTGTGTCAACGGATTATGTCAATCATAAGTCTGTTAAAAGAAGATGGTCCTCTTTCCCCTCTCACCCCCGTGAGACCTGCCATCCCCCGCCCCTCCTTAAATCTTCCCCTCCCATCACTTTCCACCCCATTTTATTCCCTTATACTTCCCTCCCATTTCCATCCCACTCCCAATTTTTTGTCCTCCCTAATTCCATTGTTCGTCACACCTCATTCTTTGCTAAAATTTATGTTTCCTCTTTTTCCCTACCCAGATCCTGCCCTCACTCTTCCCTTCCGTTACACTTCTTTCTCCTCTCTTCCATCCTTCTTACCCTTGACCACTTTCTGTCCTCCTTATCCTCTGCCTCTTGACTTTAACATTAACAGCATGCCCTTGGAACTATGTAGCTCTTATAAATATCTTGTAATTTGTGTGAATGATGCAAACTTTATCGGCAGCCTTCGCGCCAAACTATTGCAGTGCATTAAACCCCTCAAAACCCTTGTTGGCAAGGGCTATGGAATTAACATCACCTATGCTCGTACTTTCTATCTTCACTTCATTCTTTCAGTAGTTGACTATCATGCTCTCCATCTTGTGACTGTTCCGCCTAAATAACTCAACAGCCTTGAGGTAGTACAAAATGAAGCCATGTGCATCATTCTAGGATGCCCAAAATCAACCAGAATTGTAAACATGAGGAAAGAGCTCGGACTGCCATCTCTATCTTAGAGGATAGCTGTACTTAATATCATGTTTTGAGTCAAAGTTTTGAAGAACAATGGTCCCCAAACTACAGCTCAAACTGAGTTGATGTTCTATCTAAGTAATCCCGACTTTCTCGCCAACCTCCCACAAAAGACTCTCTTTGGGGAGTGGCTTCATAAAAGTGTTGCAGATCTCTTGAAAGTGAATGTCCCAATCACCCCAGACAGACCCATTAATGCCACTCCTCCTTGGCTGGATATATCAGTTCCTATTAATTACACTCCTGTTGGTAGTAAGCAAATGTTAAGCACCGATGTGATGAGATGTGTCACACTAGAAACTGTTAACAGACACATAGAGAGTATTAGATCAAGTGAATGTTATGCTTTTACTAGTGGTTCTGTGCAGACAAACACAGGTAGAACAGGCTGTGCAATTGTAATATATAAAGAAAAAGAGATGATAGTGTCAAACAAACAAAGGCTGAACAACTGGGCCAGCACAACACAAACTGAACTAACTGGAATCTACTTAGCCACAGACTACCTTAAAGAAAAGGGAAGTGAGGTGATATTCTGTGACTCTTAAAGTTCTTTGAAATCAATGAACAGCCCGTCAGGTTCTATGTCTAAAGTTGTATGTGGTATTAAAAGGAATGTGATAACTGCCAATGAGAACAACTTCCGTATCGAATTTGTGTGGATTCCGTCCCATGTTGGAATCAGGTATCATGACCGTGCTGATAGACTGGCCAATGAGGCATGTAAGAAATACAATGTTGACTTAAAATCATTCAAGTCAGAATCATGAACTCTGATCAAGAAGATCTGAGAAATGCAGATAGACCTGGTAGTTGTAGCATTAGTAAATATGACAAATTTTGTGACAAGAGGTACCGGTATGGCCAGCATAAGGACAGAACCAGACAAAGTGATGTAGTTGTGGCCAGAATTAGGCTAGGATACAGACACATCTGGCAAGTTAGTAACGCTGTACCTATACCGGAACACTCAGCATATAAACTTTGTGATAAACCTTTAAAGCATACACTTGAACACTATATTATTGAATGTATCGCTGTCAAAGACTTCAGGCCACCTGACTTATTGTAGCATGAACTTTGTAATTATTACATTGAATCAGTTGTGCTTGAGGACATTCTTGCTGTTTATCCAAAATTTGCTGCTAGCCCACACTGATTAGTCTTCAATTAGAATATGACGACCTATGTATATGAACCACTTTCCTACATGGCAGTGAAGAGTGATATCACCCACATGACTCTGACCTATATATACTGCTAATGAATATGATGTATTTCTTTGTGTACGAACCTCTGTCCTGCATGGCAGTGAGAAGTGATACCACCCTCAGTGTCAAGACCTGACTGAATTACTCACAATAGGCAAACTGTACTACAAGCTCTGTCAATAAATTTGTTAAACTAAAAAATTATCCCCACCCACCCTTGGTGCCTCATAGTATTCCTACTCACAACCTCCTCGTCCTCCCCTCTTCCTCGTTCTTATTCCTCCTCCTCCTCACATTCCAACTTCCCCTCCCCTCCCACTGTACAAATAATGTACAGTAAGGTATACAACATTGTAGATGAACAGTAAGAAAACTCGACCAAGGATAGCCTAACAAAGCCATCATAAGCTTATTTCCTTTCGGGTCCTTTGTTAAGCTGGGGACTGATTAGTAACCAGCATTGCAGAAGCAAACATTTTACAGGTGTGTGATGATGGTAGTGTGTAAGCGTGCTTAAAATTTTTATTTTTTTCCTCTAGTTTCTTCTTTCCATCTCTTCTATTTTTTCCTTTTTTCCTCTTCTTTTATGTAAATCTTCTCACCTTCTCCGGTCTTCCCTTCTTCCTATCCCGAGTTGGTCACTGTCTCTCTCTTATTATCATCTTGGCACTTTTCCTTTTGTGGGTTTTGTCTTTTTCCTTGTCTCTTATCTTCTCTTTGTCTGTATCTTTCATTTCTTCCTTGTACTTCCATTTTTCTTGTCTATTGTTGTCCAGCCTTGTGTACAGAGGGGATCAGGGGGTAAAGGAGAGGAGGGAAGGAGCAAGAACCAAGGAGGAAGTTAATGAGCTGTAAAGAAGCAGGAGAATAAAGAGAGAGGGAGGAGTAGGGAAAACCGAGGAGGTGGAGAAAATGGTTGAATGGGGAATGATGAAGAGATAGGGAGAAAAAAGATGGAGTTGAAGAAAGGGTGGAGTTGGGGGAAGGAGGAGGAGGAGGGGGGGGAGGAGGGGGGATGGAGAATGTGGGGAGGCAGGGAGGGGAGGATGAGTTAGAAGGAAGGAGGGGAGGAGTAAGGGGCGGGGAGGATGCTCGGCCAAGGCCAGCTAGTTCTTGTGCCAGATGTCACCAGGTGATCTCTCTCACCCCCCTCTCACACCCCCTCCCCTCCCCTTCTCTTCCTTCTCTTCTCTCTTTATTTATTTTCTTTCTCTCTCAAATCTCATCCCTTCGTTCTCACTGCTAAACCTCCTCTTCCCCCTCACTGCGCCCCATCACGTGTTCCTCTTGTATTGTCAAGAATGAAAGGATATAAGCGACTAGGAGAGGAAGGAAGATAAGAAGATTGGCGTAGATATAAGAGTGTGGGGGCAAGGGAACACCTGCTGGCACACTCAATGGGCCTCTGAGCTCATGGCTGACAGTACCAGCTTATCTCAGTTACACCTTATCTCTCGCTACTTGGGTGTACAATTATGTCTTTCTTATTGGTAATATTACATTGAGGATAAGTCTTCAAGTTTTTCGTATTAATATCGTCACGACTTGAATAAGCCTACCAGTTTTTATTACAGGTACCGTTACGGTACGGAGAAGGGCATCAGTTTTCATTTAGACGATATATATGTCAATATTAACCGTGTGTTGACTGGGTGACGGATAATTGTTTAGTTAGGATAGGTTATACATGGCTCAAGTTACCTTGACACAGACTAGTATAGTGCCCACGTCATTGTCTTAACTACCACAGTGAGTTTGTTTACACATATTATTATTATCTGAATATACCGTAAATTTTGTTGTGTACTCTATTTCCCTAACCAGTGTTACAAAATCAAAGAGCTTTTATCGTAAACTATCGTGTAAAGAAATTGGCTTCCTTCCGAGTCGAGTTGTGTGGTGCTATGCTGGCCGGTCCATGACGGTTAAGACCTGGCCATGACGACCATGACTACTACCACGATCACGACGACCACTACCATAGCGACCATGGCCACGACGACCACTACCATAGCGACCATGGCCACGACGACCACTACCATGAACATCACGTTATGACCACTACTATGACGACGACGACTACTACGACCATAACGACCAGGACCATGACGAACACTACCACGACAACCACTATGACAACTACGACAACCACTGATACGACCACGACCATGACGAACACTACCACGACAACCACTACGACAACTACGACAACCACTGATACGACCAGGACCACGACGATCACTACCACGATGACCACTACCATATGCATGATGACCACGACCAAAATGACCATTACCATGATGACCACGACCATGACTACCACAACTACGACCATGATAACCACGACAGCGACCATGAAAACCACGACCATGATGACCACGATGACCACAACCATGATGACCCCGACCATGACGACCACAACCACGACAGCGACCATGAAAACCACGACCATGATGACCACGATGACCACAACCATGATGACCCCGACCATGACGACCACAACCACGACAGCGACCATGAAAACCACGACCATGATGACGACGACCATGACGACCACGACCATGATGACCACGACCATGACGACCACGACCATGACGACCACGACCATGACAACCACGACCATGATGATCACGACCATGACGACCACGACCATGACAACCATGACGACCACGACCATGACAACCACGACCATGATGATCACGACCATGGCCACGAAAGCGACCATGACAACTACGACAATGAGACCATGATGACCACGCCAGCGACCATGATGACTAGGACATCGACCATGAGAATAACGACTATGATGACCAAGATAGCAGCCACGACCACGATGACCACGACCATGGCCACGAAAGCGACCATGACAACTACGACCATGAGACCACGACCATGATGACCACTGCCATGACAGCCATGACCGTCATGATCACAACCATGACAACCATTACCATGTGTGACCACGACAGCGACTAAGACGACCATGACCATGATGACCATAAACATGATGACCACGACCATCACGACTACGACAACCACTACCATACGACGACCACTACCAAGACTATGACGACCAGTACCACGACCATGACGACCACTACCAAGACTATGACGACCAGTACCACGACCATGACGACCACTACCAAGACTATGACGACCAATACCACGACCATGACGACCACTACCACGACTATGACGACCAGTACCACGACCACGACGACCACTACCAAGACTATGACGACCAATATCACGACCACGACGACCACTACCAAGACTATGACGACCAATACCACGACCACGACGACCACTACCAAGACTATGACGACCAGTACCACGACCACGACGACCACTACCAAGACTATGACGACCAGTACCACGACCACGACGACCACTACCAAGACTATGACGACCAGACCATGACGACCACTACCAAGACTATGACGACCAATGACCACCACTACCAAGATGATGACGACCAATACCATTACCATGACAACCACTACCACGACGTCCTTAAATAGTTAAAATATTAATTCAATTTCAATTTCAATTGTTTATTCCTTGATAGAGGAAGCGGGATCCTAGTGCTGTCACTAGGTACCCCTGTACAATGACACCAGAAGCATCTGGCAAGTGTGACAAGTATATACAGTATAAATATTATAAAGGGGCTTACTAAAGCCTAAGGAAGGAAGGATATTCCTTTAACACATAATCAATATTATTTACAAAACATCTGGCCAGTATTGGGAGGATCATTGTGTCTCCGTCAGGGGGTCGTGGAGTGGTGGTCCAGCAGGCGTCACGGAAGCGTTGTGTGTAGGGACATCTTAGGAGGTAGTGGATAAGGGTGCTGCTGTCGGGTCTTCTGCATAATGCACAAGAGCGTTGCTCAGGGGATGCGGGGATAGTTAAAATATCGTCCCTAAAAGACTAAAACATCGTCCATATACAGTATTGCTCGCTGGCTTGTGACAATAATCTACTTGAAACACCGAACGTGTAAAATGTAAATACAAATGCGGTGATAGAATTTTGGAGACCTTTTATGCTTCGCCTACCCTGCTTATCTCACCTTAAGATTAACCTAACTTAACCTAACCTAACCTAACCTAACCTAATCTTACCTAACTTAAACCAAAATGGCCCTAAACCGAATCGAGTAACGTACACTCACGGAGGTATTAGTAGAAGTGTAATTCTTGGAGTGTATGACAGTAGGACGACTAAAACACACACACACACACACACACACACACACACACACACACACACACACCCACAAACAATAAGATATAAACACATACCCACAAATATACACGCACACCAACATACTTACCCACACAGTCACAAACAGCTCTCCGTATACTGCCATATACTTATAACAAATTATCTTTAACCCGTTTCATCAAGATATTCAAAGTTATCTGAGTAAAAATAAAAAAACAATAAAAACAATAATATTGCATCAATGAAAACACAAAATTAAGCTGTTTTAAAGTCCTTGGTTGAGGGGGCGGCAGTGGGAAGCGTCAGGTGGGTCAACACAACACCGTTAACTGCAATTATTGTTATAGATGATCTGCACCTCCCTCCCTCCCTCCCTCACCTGCTGCTGTGTGACCCCACCTCCTCCTCCCTCCCTCCCTCACCTGCTGCTGTGTGACCTCCTCCCTCCCTCCCTCCCTCACCTGCTGCTGCCTCCTCCTCCTCCTCCTCCCTCCCTCACCTGCTGCTGTGTGACCTCCCTCCTCCCCTCCCTCCTCCCTCACCTGCTGCTGTGTGACCTCACCTCCTCCTCCCTCCCTCCCTCACCTGCTGCTGTGACCCTCACCTCCTCCTCCCTCCTCCCTCACCTGCTGCTGTGTGACCCTCCTCCCTCCTCCTCCCTCACCTGCTGCTGTGTGACCCTCACCACCTCCTCCCCTCCCTCCCTCACCTGCTGCTGTGTGACCCTCACCTCCTCCTCCCTCCCTCCCTCCCTCACCTGCTGCTGTGTGCCTCCTCCTCCCCCTCCTCCCTCACCTGCTGCTGTGTGACCTCACCTCCTCCCTCCCTCCCTCCCTCACCTGCTGCTGTGTGACCCCCCACCTCCCTCCTCCTCACCTGCTGCTGTGTGACCCTCACCTCCTCCTCCCTCCCTCCCTCACCTGCTGCTGTGACCTCCTCCCTCCTCCCTCCCTCCCTCCCCCTCACCTGCTGCTGTGTGACCCTCACCTCCCTCCTCCCTCCCTCCCTCACCTGCTGCTGTGTGACCCTCACCTCACCCCTCCCTCCCTCCCTCCCTCCCTCACCTGCTGCTCCCTCCTCCCTCACCTGCTGCTGTGGACCCTCACCCCTCCCTCCCTCCTCTGCTGCTCCCTCACCTCCTCCCTCCCCTCCCTCCCTCACCTGCTGCTGTGTGACCCTCACCTCCCTCCCTCCCTCCCTCACCTGCTACCCTCCCTCCCTCCCTCCCTCCCTCCCTCCCTCACCTGCTGCCATGTGACCCTGCTGCTGACCCTCAGGTGACCTCACCCCTCCCTCCCTCCCTCCTCACCACTCCCTCCCTCCCTCCCTCCCTCACTGCTGTCAGTTGGTGACCTCACCACCTCCCTCCCTCCTCCCTCACCTGCTGCTGTGTGACCCTCACCACTTCCCTCCCTCCCTCCCTCACCTGCTTGTGTGACCTGACCCTCACCACCTGCTGCTGTGTGACCTCCTCCCTCCCTCCCTCCCTCACCTGCTGCTGTGTGACCCTCACCACTTCCCTCCCTCCCTCCCTCACCCGTCATTGGTGATAGGAGTTTGGCAATTGAGTTGTTGAGTAAAATTTGTTAAACTATCATCATCTAAGAGAAAATTCAAATGAGAGTTAACGCTTCCTTCCTCAAAACTTCGTCGGTTTTGGCAATATTTGAGGGTTACATACCACTATACTTCACAGCTGAGGGTTTTATTATAATAGATACATGTTGTCATCATTGTCACTTGTTTCTCTCAGTATTAATTTACTGTAGTAATTGAAATATTCATATGACGACTCATCTGGTGGGTGTCAGGCTTATTCATATTAGGCTATTGAAGCTTTCAGGGAATTGCAAATAGTAAATCTAAGTATTAGTTTTATAGTTTAGTTAAGAAAGTTCTAATAGAACAATTTTAACGTAGTGGTGATGAGAGTTTGTAATTACTATACAGCTAAGTCGAGTTTAGTGCCTCATTTTTACCTTTAATAGTAATTATAACATATTTGTCAGTATGTTAATGTAAATGGAGGAATTGTTGTTAATGAAGCTATTCAGTTACTCTTAGGTCCACTGAAGAGTGTGTATCTCTATCCAGTCTATTTGCTCACCTCTCTACACCTGTGAATCAGAGACCAAGTGTTTGAGTGTCGTTGACGTGGAAAATAAAATCTCGCAGGGGACAGGATTTCCTGACAGCCCTTTGAACCGAGAAATGGTATATATTTGGGTGTGTGGAAGATCTAGGCACAAAAGTCGTTCACAGTTCATTAATATTATAGTCAAGGGAAAAGTGTCAGATATCTGACAACTGTCATAAAGATGATTGAAAGCTTTGGGTTTTGCCATTATTAATAGTTTTCCTGAGAAATTAATGTAAAATTAATATTATTTATATAATCTAATGAGTACATAGTTAAGAAACTCATTGCTTTAAACATTTTAAGTTTCACGTAATAAGTGGAGGTAGTGACAAGTCCACAGATCAAATTCATTTGCAGTAAAATAACCTAACAGTTAATGTTATTTTCGCTTAATACAGTCCCCCAACGTATCTGGTAGAGTAAGTTCAATTTTGATAAAAATTTGTACATTAATTTGCGTTCCTCTTACGGACCTTGGAGAATCTGAATCAAAATCTTGATGTCATTAATCCAAACAGAGCGAGGAGTCCAGTATACTGCTGTCAGCATAAGCTGCCTCATACTACCCACACTATATGTTGTCCACTGGTTTTATCAGAGGTAACAGAGTGGCTTGTTTATGTATTTTGTCTGTAAGTATCATAACCTTGTGAGACGATGTGTCCCTGCTGTGTGTTGACGACAGTTACCTCTCACTCATTCAATTCCCTCAAAAACTTACAATGGGTGACAAAAAGTTTTATTTTACATATTATACGGTATTAATGTCTAATCTCTCTTTTAATCCTCACGCTACACACACACACACACACACACACACACACACACACACACACACACACACACACACACACACACACTCAAATTATATAATCTGTCTCATGCTGATACCCCCACCCTCTTCCCCCGCCCCAACACAAACCTTATCTTCAAGTACAAAGCAGCGCTGACGTTTTCACTCTCACTGGCAGTCTTCCCACACATCCTCCCGTAGTACAAAAAACTCTCACCGTTCACCTTCACCCTAATCCGGGCAGAAGAGGACACTAGAGCGAAAAAACTGGTTCATTTTATCCCGCACATCCAGAATGAGGAGGACACTGACTAAAAACTGGTCCATCTGGTGCATTGATTTCTAGTTGAGAGGTCCCAGGTACGAGAGAGAGAGAGAGAGAGAGAGAGAGAGAGAGAGAGAGAGAGAGAGAGAGAGAGAGAGAGATGATAAAATAGATGGAGAGGAGAGGAAGAAAGAAAATGTATAGAGAGGGAGAAAGACAGAGAGGTGAAAAATAAGATGGAGAGGAGAAAGATCAGAGGGAGAGAGTAAAAAGTGTAAGTGAGAGTATCGTAGTATGACTGTCCGACTGGGACAGTGTGGATACAATAAACTGTATTCTAAACCTTCAGTAACCAGGGAGGCAGAGTGGTTGCCAGTGCGCTCAATCGCCTTCTTTACACTAGCTTTTAAACTTGGGTACCCATACACAGCTGGCTGGACTTGGAATTCCTCGGGATCGGACCAGCTTTCCCTAGAACAGAAGGCAAGCGCTGTATCCAACCGGCCGTAGAACTACGAGAAGAAAATAAGGAATTGAAACGTAGGAAAAGTGAGAGAGGGAGAGGAAACAAAGGAAAGGGGGTGACAAAATGAGAGAAAAGTGAAAAGAGAAAGGAGCGAGAGAGGTAGAAGAAGCACTAGAAGGAAAACAATGGTAAATACAGAAAAAAATACTGCATAGAAAAAAGGAAAGGGAGGAATAAAGTTAGCAGTTAGGTGAAGAAGGATTAGTAAAAGAGGAAGATGAGAGGGTAAGGAGGAAACAGCTGGAGTAGTGGAGAGGGAAGAAGTGAAGTTAAATATATTGGAGATGAAAGTAGGAAAGAGAAGAGATATAAGTCCAGAATTAAGGAATGAAATATAGAAGAAAATAGAATGTAGAACTAAGAAGAATCCAGAGCATAAATTATTATGTGGATGAAAATGAGAGAAGGAATAGGTAAGAATTAGAAAATGAAAACAAGATTACCACTCTGCTGACTACTACACACAGTCAATTTTGGCAGTTATTTACAAAGTCACGTGGAGTGATTAATATCAAGAAAAATCCCTCCCCCCCCCCCTCCCTAACTCTTTTGTACTCTCTCCTTTCT